CCTTGGCGCGCGCCGGCCCGGCTCCGAGGCTCCGAGGCTCCGAGGCTCCGGGGCGGGAGGGCGCGGCTCCGGCAGGGGCCCGGCGGCGTGGGGGTCTCCAAGGCGCCGTCTCCCTGCGCCCCACCGCCCCGGGGGGGGGGCCCGGCAGTCTGAGACGATCCACGGTCCGAGCTCAGGGCGGGAACGGGACGCAGAGCCCCTACTCGCACCCCAGAAAGGACGCTGCGAAAGGCCAGTGGTTCGCCAGTGCACGTCCTCCCGCCGGCCGCGCCGCAGGGTCCCGGGGAAGGGACTGCCGAGCGAGCCGGGCACCTTTCCCAGGCGCCGCTGCACGGGAGCGGGGGGGGGGCGCTGGCGGGGACCGGGGCGCACCCTGCAGGGCTCCCCACGAGTTCCGGCTGGGCCGCGGCCGGAGGGGGCCGCGCGTGTCCCGCTGTGCGCGCGGCCCGGGCGCGCTGGACCCGTCGCAGCAGGCAGTGGGCACAGCCCGGCGGCTCAGGAGGCTGCTCCCCGCTGCTGGGATTTGCCGTGACCTCTGGGACCCCGCGCTTCTCTGGAGTGGAGTCTGGTTCATCGGAGCAGAGCGCAGCGCCAACACGATGGCTTGGCCTTGGGGTCTTCATGTTTCACCCTTTTCACTTTTCCCAAATCCTTAGACATTTTCACTGTGAAAGTAACCCCAGCCCACCCTGGAGACGCTTGCAGGCCTGCAGGGTTTGGGGTCCCACATTTTGGGGGTACCTGCCCTCCCAGGCACTGCAGAAATGGGCAAGAGAGCCTGGAATGCTACTGCATTTGGGTAATCCCAGTGCTGGGGAGGCGGAGGCAGGAGGATCCTTTTGAGTTCGAGGCCAGGCTGGGCAACATAGTGAGTTCAAGGTCAGCCTGGATGACACAGTGAGACCTTGTCTCAAAAAACAAACACACGGAAAGGTCAAGAAGACTGGCTGGCCCAGGGGTGGCCCAGGAAGACCCAGGTTGGGGTACAACAGATGTCTGTCCTGCCCTCATGGTTTGTTTTGATCATGGACTTCATCTAACCCTGCTTTCTGCTGAGCCGGGGAGTTCACTTCCATAAGGAGTTGGACAGGGGGGAGGGAGGCAGGCACTCCATACTCTGTTTTCCACTTCCATGGAAGCTCCCCCAGGTTTTTGTCCAACCCATTTTATTCGTGAAGAAACTGAGTTTCTAGGAGGCCCAGCTCAGCTGAGTGGCACCCACACCCGTCCCCAGCAGTTCTGACCCAGCTGCCCTGACGGCTGCGTGCTGAGTCTCAGACTCAGGGGAAGAGAAACCCGCACAGGCAGGGCGTCACTAGGTTGGGGCCAGCCTGGACCGCAGACCAGGCCTCGGGGACTTTCTGCAGCAGGGGGACTAGGCCCACCTGGAGGGAGCGGGATCGGCACTGGGTGTGGTTTGGAGGTAGCTGCCTCTACGCTCTGCGCTTCTGAGTGAATCTCTTGGTAGGCTGTGTGTCGCCGAGGTTCATGTGTTGGACATGCGGCTCTTCGTGTGACGAAGTTACCGGGGGGCCTGCTGGGAGCTGGGGATGTCCCCTCCTGGTCTTTGGCTTCCTGTCTTCCCCGTGGTCTCTTCCTCCCAAAAGTTCTCCCACTGGGAGGCTGCTCACTATGAGGCGACATAGCCTACAGGCCCCGAAAGAGCTGGTGCCATTCTGTTGGACTTTCAGCCTCCCAAACTGAGCCCAATGAACCTCTTTTCTTTACAAGTCATCTGGCCTCATGCACTTCATCATAGCAACAGAATGGAGACTAATGCAGCGACTCAATAACTCGTCTGGTTGTAAACCTTGTTCCAGAGTGAAAAGATCAGGATTAATACTTGTGCTGGGAAAGAGGCCCAGTTGGGACTGGCTGACCCATGGGGGCCGTGGCTTCTGTATTTCCCTTTAGAATCTCAAATCTGCTAAAAAATGCCAAATGTTAAAAATTAGAAACAAGCAACTTTCTAAGAGAGAAAATCTAATCCACTTGAGAGTATGTTATGCAGCAATAACACAGGGTTACATAGCAAAAATGGAAATATTTATGATCTCCATAATTTTAGGAGGGAATTTAAGAGATCAGAGTGCAAAGCTATTGCTACATTGTAGCTCAGTGCAAGACTATGGAACGCTTGGAAGAAACACCGGGAGAAGACTTTGAATGATGTTAGAGTGGGTAGATATTCTCTGCCCAGACAGCCACTCCGGAGACAGGATGGTACGGTTGGTGTCCCTCACTTCCCCTCCTTCGTTCCAGAAGATCACAGAAAGTTCCACCTCCCCAGAGTCATGAGCAGACAGTATCTGTCCAGCCTGATGGTGACAGGGTACATTTTGTTGTTATAGTTACTTGATTTTCAAAATTCAGGAAAAGAATGTGTTGCAGTTACAGTGAAAAAATTGTAACCAAATTTTAAAAAATGATTGTCTTAAAGGTTACGTTTGCAACACTGGGAGAGTTGAAGTTCGGGCACTGTGCCCAATGAAATAATCTTCAAGGACGACTATGGGTCTCAGCCAGGATGGGGTAGGGACAATGAATGGGTAAGGAACCTGCAGCCACAGCCTGAACCCATCTAGCAAGGAGGGCCGGGGGGAGGCAGCTGGTCATCACCATAGGCTGGACACCAGCCAATGGCTTCACCTGTGAGCATTTAGCCCATGGTCCAAGGTGCCACCCTCTGCAGCCCAGCTTCTAGAAGGAGACAGAACTCAGGTTTGTCTGTTTATTCTTTTTTCTCAAAGGACTCCCTTGCAGTTCTTTTGGATCCTGTTTCCCCATGAAGCCCAGTCTCATGAGGTCATCAAGACCTTAACCGCTCCAAGAGTGTACGTGTGGTCTGTACTTTTGGACTAAGGGGTCACGGACAGTGGTCTGTGTTGACAGCTGCACCCCCTGTGGCTCGGTGACATTGCAGGGTCATCGCACCAAGTGTGCCACTCCCTTCTCCAGGAGCACAGCCTGCATTTGGATGGTGCTTCCGTGCCTTCGGGCCCGTCCTGAGTGCTTTGCATACTGGACCTGTTTAGTCTTGTGTCACCATTAGGTAGTCTATGTGTCTACCCCTGCTGTAGAGATGGTAAACTGAGGCACAGAGGGAAATAAGCTGGCCCCGAATCATGTAGCGAGCACTGGGCAGAGCCAGGCTTGCAGCCCACAGCGTGGCCCCAGGGGGTGCCTGCCCTCATTGCCCCATGAGTGCTTGCTGTGTCCAGTTACCTCTGAAGAAGCCCTGCCCTCCTGGAGCTGGGGTCCCCGGGCAGAGGTCTCCCCATCTCCCAACTGCCCTGCAGACAGCTGCTGTGTAGATGTGAAAGTGAAGAGCTTGAGGGTGGCAAGGAATGCATCATTGTTCGCGTCTCTCTTGAAAAACTGCTTTTTAAAGGTGCAGGCAGAGGTGGGCCGTCCCCCATGGCCCCTGTACGGTGGTCAAGTGAGGCATCTTCTGCTTGTTCTGTAGTTTCTCCTCCGCGTGTCCTTCTCCTCAGGTCGCCATGGTGCTGCTCATGGTGGAACCGAGAGCCCCCTGCTCTGCTAACCGCTGCTGTCCCCCTGGTGACGGGGCTCAAGGTCCAGGTTGATTACCTACTCCTCTCCATCTCTGAACCGGCTTCTGGGTTGGATCCCTGGACAGCCAGGTCCAGTCAGGAACATGGGATATGCTAGGTGTTCCAACAGCAGAGACAGCCCGGGTAATTGCTTCCAAAAACGCTGACATGTTCAAGGCCCAGAGGAGAAACGAAGCGCTGAAGAAGCCGGCGAAAGAGGAGATTCAGCTGCCGACCTCGACCTCCCAGAGCAAAGGCCCACACCTAGAGCCATGGGGGACTGCAGAGGGCTGGCACCCTGGCTGCTAGGGCCACAGTGTGCATCCGTCCGCTGCCACTGCGGCATCGCCAGCTCCTCTGGCAACTCTGACTAACAGGAGGCCGCTTTGGGGCGCGGCTGTGTGCATGGCCTCCCTGTGGACCACCTCGGTGACAAACTACGGATGGCTTCTTTTTAGCTTTTGAGCAGCGAAGCAGGGGCCCGACATGGCTTGGTAATTAGGAAGATTTTCTCTGGCAGTTGAAGGAGCTCTTGCATGATGAAATGAGTCAGACATTCCTTTCTGAAGAAGAAACTGCTTGGTCCTAAAGAGATTTCCAGAGATGATAATCTCATTTTCCCTGTCCTTTTCATCTTTGCTTGAGGCAAAGACAGCACCTTTCTGGTTGTGGGGAAGTCTGAAATGACAGCTGAGATCTTGTCAAGGTGGCATCTCTATTCAACCTACCTTAAACAGTGGGACTAAATATAGGTCCAGGTGCAGTACTGTGAGAAAGGGGACTTGATTCCCGTTCCTAGCACACAGAGGGGTGGTGAGTAAAATATTATAATTAGTCGAAACTGAAAGCATGTATTATATTTATATCATGCATTTTCAAAGCATCAGAATGTAATGGAGTCCCTGGAGTTCATTTTTGCTGGTTACCTTACCGGCAGAACATGACAGTAAATGTCTTATTGCTCCTGTGTCAGCTTTGAAAAAATATAATTAAGAATAAATTCTCCAACTTTGGTACTCAAAAATAGTAACTAATTTGAGAAATGTTTTAAATGGAGGAGTAACGCACATACAAGGAAGTGCATAGATTTTTTTTGGCAGTGCTGGGGTTTGAATGTAGGGCCTCCACATTCCATTACATCCCCAGGCATTTTTGGCTGCTTATTTCAAAACAGGGACTTGATAAGTCAACATGTAGCAAAGGCTGGGCTCAAGCCTCCCGCCTCAGCCTCCTAGCATGGCAGGGATTACAGATGTGAGCCGCCATGTCTGGCCTGCACAGATCTCAACTTGGTAGGTTTAGAAAACTATGTGCACGCGTGCAGTTTACACCCCAGTCAAGGCACAGGCTGCTTCCATCATTCTAGAATGTTCTCAGATGTTCCTTCTGATAAAGCCCATCTGAACTTCTCCCCTGAGTGCAGTTGGTTTTGATGTCTACCACCATAAATTAATTCTGTTGGTTTTCTCCGTGTCATGGGAATGGAGTAATACAGTATGTGCTTTTTAATTAGCTCCTATCAAATAATAGCTAATCGATATGTAAGTTCATGGTGAGGCCAGGCTGTGTGCTCCTGTGTGTTGGAAGTTTGGTTTTCGCTGGTCAGTAGTATCCTAGGTATGCATCCACCATGACCTGTTTACCTGTCATCCTGCCAAAGGACATGTGGGTTGCTTCCTTGTTTGCAGGAGGGTCACACACAGTCTTTTTGGATGCATGTTTTTACCTCCCAGAGAGAGTTATTGCTGTGTGAAAGGCTAGGTACACTTGACTGTCATAGGAAACTTCTGAGTTAACTGTAGCGTTTTCCATTCCCACCAACATAACTGCTAGAAAATGTGGAAGATGAAATTGGGAGGAATCCTTTGAAGACCGCAGCAGATAGGTTCAGCTAAGCCAGAGAACAGAGCCAGGAGACCTCTGCAACTGAGGCTGGAGCTGTTCCAGAGCGAGTGGAAGATGAGAAATACAGAACCAGCCTCCAGCAACCCCAGACACCCAAACATTCGCAGGCAACACAACTCCACCAATGCCCAAGGAAAATCAGCCCTGACCAATGACGCAACACCGAAGGAAATGGAGTTACAGGAAAACAGAGGATTTTAATCTCTGCAAGGAATATCTCCAAGAGAGATATGCATTAACATCTAGCCTGCTAACTTCAGTGCATAACATCTCAGAACGCATTCCTACTGGATGACCGACTGTCCTCAGTGATGAGCCCCAGATGAACACTTCACAGTGCAGCTGGGGTCCTAATCAAACCCATGCCCACCCATAATGCTCCCCCAGTGACCTGAGCTGGTTCCCGCATGCAGACCCAAAGGGAGGAGTGGGGTTCTGGGTCCTCACTGTGCCGATTCAGTTACTGCGGGCCCACCCTGGCCTCTGCACTTGCTGATTAGCAGTTCTCCGTGTGAGTCCTGGTTCCTGTGACGTGCTGCTCCTGCAAAGGCCTCTTTGTTTTGGCGGCTGTGCCCCTACAAACAGTTTGCAGTATGTGGAAGAGAAAGCACCTGTCTCCCTGCAGTTTGACCCTACTGATAGACACATCGGAGCCCTTCACATGCCCAGGAAGTGTGGGGAGAACAATGAACTGAATTTTACCTTAATTTAGGTAAAATCTTAACTAGTAGAAAAAATGGGAAAAATGTGCCAAACATGATGGCCACTTTGGAGAGTCATCTTTGGGGCTTATGGCTCGTCTTGTCTCATCGTGACTTAGAATCTAATAGTTTGTCAAAGCTCAAGAATATTTATTTAACTGAATGAAATCTGAATATGTAGAGGTGTGAGATGCTGGTGTTGAGTAGAGATCTCAAATACATATGTTAGAAATAAATGATATTTTGGATTGCCTGGCTTGAGTTTGAGTTGCCTCTGTATCCATATTGAAGCTTCATGATGTCCTTTATCTTGTTCAAAGTGTAAATTTTAATCACCAACATTTATGTAAGAAATTATGCATGCCGGACACAGGGGATATGGAGTGAGCTCCAACTTACACATGCACAATGATGAGAAAAATCTACAGTCCTTCATCAGAAGTGGACGGACTCCTCCTCAAATGTGTCTGCAGCGTCCCTCCTTCACGTGTGGAAGGTGGCCTGTGTCGCTGCGTGTGGACACTGTGCTGCTTCGGTTGCTGCTGAGACCTGCTCAGGAAGCCGCAGACAAAGCCAGGCCAGCCCGTTTGTCATTTTCGGTCACCGAGCAGTTTTCCGTCCGACCTCAGGGCTCCCGCTGTAGCATGTGGTGTCCTGTCGGGGATGTGACACTTAATTGTCACAGCTCCTTCTGTCTTAGCAGGAAACAGTATCAGGCAGCATTAGCCCTGTTCAGAGGGCGGGTGATGGGTGGGTGGACCCCAGAGTGAACTGTTGTTTAACTTTGAAAAGGTCACAGCTCTTATCCTTTCTGTTAGCCAGGCACTGAGATATGTTCTTATTTGTCCTATCCTAATCCAATTCAGAGCATCCTATCACTGTAACACTTTGGTTCATGAATGCTTCTGCTCACAAATGATTCGGTTTACAAACAAAAGCGTTCACCAGAAATTTGCTTCCATTCACAAACTCCACATTGAGTGGCAAACACAACTATGGCCATCTTCCCCCAAATTGTAAAATAAATTAAATTCATGAACTGAGGTGCCAATGTATTGCATTGTTTAGAGAATGCTAAATGGACTTCACTCCTATCTGATAGGCTTTATGCACAGTGATAGAATCCTACATCATCTTTCCTTAATAAAACAGCCTCTTCACCACACACTCACCAAATATTTATTTTTATGAAACATTTTATAGGTGGGCCAGTATTATTCTGGGGTATGGATGTGAAGCTATCTTTTAAAGAAAGGGAATTGTCCCAGTAAGACTCAGGAGTAACCACACTAAGTTATTCCTAACGTGTACCTCTTTTACCTGGGGTGCAGTCAAGCCCAGGGCCCACTGCAACCTGCCCAGCGTGCATTTATAGACAGAATAGCTAAAAACATCTTAATTTTTCTCTCTGCATTCACAAGTAGCTGGGACCAAAAGCTTATAATAAATACTTCCCCTTCTGAATCTTACCACTGTGCAATTTCATCTATTCTAAGAAAATATTGTGTTTTTTAAGTGTTCCTTTTTTGGTCTAGGCCAGCAACATTTTTCTGAAAAGAGATTCTATTCAGAGTTAGTCTGCAGAATAAAAAATTAGGCAATTTAAAAAGATAGATATTATTTTCTCAAAATATATAAGTTAAACAGATAAGATAAGAGTTGTACACACAGACATATATTTTAAAAGCAATTACCATCTGCCTGATAGAGAAGAATCTCCGCTGGGATTGAGCTTTATTGTGCAGCTTTATAATTAGGATGCCACAGCACAGAATAATATCATTATCAGAATTCATAAAGAACGCCTTCTAATATTTCCTTTTTATTTTCCAACTCATTATATAAAGAGCATTTGGTTTTCCACCAGAAGGATTTAGGATGGAGAAGGTTTCTTGCAGGGAAGAGCATTTCTGGAGATGTTCCTATTTTTGAAAAGGCTTTGGGGGGTGGAGGAGCTACTCAAGTTGAGAAGTCGATCGTTTTTGATCGATATCTTCCATTTTGTTCACAGCAAGCGCACGTGTCCAGCTGCGTGTTAACTCCCTGCACCAGGGGCAGCTCTGGGCTGAGCCGAGGGAGACCCGACCCTCATTTCCCATAGTCCCCACTGTCTCTGCTCCTGCCCGCCTCCTCCACTGCCTCCATTCTTCCCGCCTTCCTCCTGCTTATCTTCTCGGATGGGGAAAACGATCCACCCATAGCCTCAAGCGTCTGACTTGCCCCTGGGATCAGCTCGTGTCACTTTCCTCTGCCACCTTCGGTCTCCTAAAAGTGGAGAGCAGCTCACTTTCACGGTTCACTTGAGCAAGAATGAAAGGCTCTAGAACCGAGCCACAGTCCAGAGCAAAGCTGGATCCGAATGCACCCACACCACCAGTGCAGGTTCTATTGGTCGCCAAAGAGGAAGTGGGATACACAAACAACCTGATTGGCTGCAATGAGCACCTTCCTTATATGGGCATGGTCTGATCACTGGCAGCCTGTGATTGGCTGAAATTCTGTTGCTTGGTTACAAGAGTATACACTTAGGTTAGATGAAAATTTGTTCACACCTCAAGCTAGGGTATAGTTTATCATGTATAGGAGGTTGCTTTGGGCCCACCTCATCATCCAGGCATGGAAGATGGCTTAATCCAAATTTATTTGGTTTCAGTACAACCATGTTTAAATGAACGCGGGATGGGGAAGAGGGAAATACTGTAACTACCCTGTTCTTTCTCAAGTACACAGTTTCCTCTCTTAGGGGATGAACTGTGCCCCTCTTAAGGTTTTTATGTGGAAGTTCTGACCCCTAGTTCCTCGGAATGTAACAATATTTGGAGACAAGGCCTTTAGATAGGACGTTAGGGTCAAAGCAGGTCATAAGTAGGCCCTGATCCAATGACAGCTGTGGCTGTGAGAAGTGATCAGACACAGACACAGAGGGAAGGGCATGGCAAGTCCTAGGAAGAAGAGGGACCTCTAAAAGCCAAGGGAAGTAGTCTCAGAAGAAATCGGCAACTGCCCACACCTTGGTCTTGGAGTGCAAGACACTGCATTAACTTCCCATTCTTTAACCCCCAGCACGTGGCATCCTGTTATGGCAGCGTGAGCAGCCGAATACCAGCTTCCAAGGAGTCTGTCTGTCGGCCCAAATGGCAATTGGCATCTTCAGCGCAGATTCCTTGCCTACTCTGGAAAGCTGGGGCTCCATTTCTAGCTGTCTTCCCTGGCTGGGTGTAGCTGCAGTCCTGTGTAATTCCATGTCCTTCCATTTGACAACACTTTTTGGTTTCTGGTCTTCCCAGTTTTTCCCCTAAGGAGGTTGGAGCTGCTTGTGAGCAGGATCTCATCTCCTCGGCGGCCCTCAGCGGCCCTCGTGAGAGCTCACAAGGAGCTTCCCAGCTAAGGCGACGGGGCTGTGCTCCCAAAGGTGACCGTGAGGAGGCGGGACAAAGGCCTTGGCTTTTCCTCCCCGGCCCCTCCCCCGGGAGCCAGAGACCAAAGCTCGTCCCTCTGCTGCCCTGCCTGGCTCGGATGGAAAGGACTGAGGAAGGAGGCCTCCAACCAGAAGGAGAGCTGCTCGCTCAGGGCTGGAGAATGGGCTTCGGGGCCACCCTGTCTCCCAGCTGACCTGCGAGACACACTCCCAAGTGGCAACCCGGTCGGAGGCCGCCGCAGGGTCTGTGAGCGCTCCGGCGCCGTCAGCTCCCCGCTGACGGACCTACAGGGCTCTGCTCTGCAGACTGCTCCGTGCCGGCCCCAGCCTCGGAAACTCTCCAAGGAGCTGCCGACGCAGTGATGAGCCAGCTCGGGCTTGGAACCCAACCGGGCTATTTTTAAAAGCTGTCTCCCAAAGCGACGCTGTGACACAGAGCAAGCTGCGTGCAGAGGAGACGCGGCCCAGCCTGTGAGGATCTCCAGACCTCACGTCAGCTGAGGTCGGGAATACCAAAGGAGGAAGACAGGCTTCTGAGAGGTCAAGATTTACTGGACTGTATACAATTCAAAAATTTGTACCTATTCAGGTTTGGGAACAGTATTAACCTAGGAATGCTTAAGCAGAAGAAGTGTGGAAAACAAGCCTGAAAATATTCCCCTCTGAAGGACGAGATCTTTGAACTGCTGTGCGAGGTTTGTTTATTTATCACGAAGTTAACTACCCAGTGTCTTGCCATCTGCTCAGTGGAACTCATCTGGGTCCAGTTCAAATATCTCCCTCCTTTCTGCTTCGTCCTCCACTTCCCTTCTTCCCTTCCTTTCTCGTTCCTTTCTTTCCAAATGGGAATATCTGAATGCACAAGGTGTCACGCTTGGAAAAATCCACGATGCACTCAACCTCATTTTGTCTCGTACTAGTGTGTACCAGGAATTTCAGATGACTCGGACAAGCTGTGGTTGATTGACGATTGACTATGAGATACACGATTAGGCCTCATAGCTTCCAGAGGATGTGCCCTTCCTTTCTGACATCAGTGTCACGACTGTGGCCAGACCGAGATTCTCCCACGCCGAGCACAGCATGGGCACCATTCTCCAGGACTTCACAAAGCCCCTTCCGGCCGGATTCATTCTCAGCCCCCGCCAACCTCCGGGCCCTGCTGTGAGAGGGCCCTTCCCTCTCTCCTCAAGCTTGCATCGCGCATGCTCTGGTGAAGCATTGGAAGTGCCGGCTTTAGAGGCTGTTCTGTGGCGTCTGTTCTCTGGACAGCACCCTGAGAGTTACTTACCTCCAGTGAAATGTAAGTTTCCTCAACAGTGAAATACGGATAATAGCTACTCACGGTGACTGCTGTAGGTATTATGTATGGTAACCTTTCCCACATAGGTGACATACTAGCCACTCAGCAGATGTCCGCGGTCCCTCCCAGAGTGTTCAAAAGACACAGATGATGGTTCCCTCCAGCTTTCTTTTCATCGCAGATGTCTGAGTCTGCAGCAATTCGCCCCAGACTTTCCCTCCTCGGCTCTCTTACAGTTCAGGTGCAGAAATTCTTGGTTGGGGAGGTGTCTCGCCCACTAGTGGGCATCTAGTGACTTCCCTGCACTCCACTCACTAGAAGCCAGTAGCACCCACAACCATAATGAGGACAACGTAAAGTGTCATGGACATTTCTCAGCCTCTTGGAGCAAGGTCACCCCATTAAAAGCCTCTGCTCTACCCCAAAGTGGGTGAGTCTGTAATGTCCCCGTGTGTAAAGGCTCGGTCACTGTCCTGTGGTGTCGCTAGGAGGTTGTAGTGATTGTGTGTGAACTCTTGAAGGTGATGTTGGGATCCCATGCTCTTTTCTTTCTTTCTCTTCCCAGCTGCCGGGAGGTAAACATCTTAATCCATTCACAGTCCATGCCACCATATTTCAGCCTCAGCACGGGGCCAAAAATAATGGAGCCAGCAGGCCATGGACCGAAACCTCTGAAATTGTGCACCAAAACAAATACTTCTCCTTGTAAGTTGTTTACCTCAAGTATTTTTTCCCAGCAGCAGAAAGCTGACCAATCCAATAGTTGTAGATTGAGGCTCATGGTGGGCTTGAGGGGTCCCCAGACAGCACCCCGAGCCTCCTTGATTGTCTCTACCGGACCTGACATGGTCAAGAGAGGAAAAGGTGCTGAACAGAAGAGAGACCTGTCCAGAACCACCCTGGGGTCCAATAGTGTAGGGTAAGAAATGTGAGTAGAGAAATGTGCAGCTTTGAGGTGCTGACTGCCTCTACAGGACATTGCTGGCACGGGATCTTGCCACCCTTTAGATCCTCTGACCATCCTTAATTCTCCAGAGAAATGACAGAATTATTTCATAAACTCTAGTTGTACCGAGCATGATAACCTTTATAGTGCTGCTATGTCACAAATATCACTGGTTCATGAGATGAGCCTGGATATCAGTAGACCATTCACCATCCACCTTCCATCTTCCATCCATCCGTCCATCTTTCCAAGGTCTGTAGGAATGGCCTAGCTCAAAACACAAAAGGCTAAATGTGTCTCAGTTACGTGCAGGGAGCTGCAGGATCTCCAGTATGATTTGCATTTAAAGATGACACACACACACACACACACACACACACACACATCCATATATGTATATATGCAGTGTGATTGAAAAGCAGTGAATGTTTAAATGAAAAAATTATTACAGTAAAGATACATAGCCACAAATTTTCTTCAAAACACTGCCCCTCTTCCAACATGCTTATCCCATCGCTGTTGCCACTTTCTGCAGTCCTCTATTTGTGAGTGTCTTTAGTTGCTCTGTGGTGGCTGCCTCGATGTCCTGAATTAATTTGAAGTGTTTACCTTTTATGGCCCTTTTGACTTCGGAGAAGATTCAGAAGTCATAGAGTGCCAGATCTGTTGACTGAGGGATCTGAGGATGCACCGTCATGTTTTTATGAGCCCACCTTTCTGTGGGGCGGCGCTAGGCAGCAGCCTTCTCTGTGCTTTGATCACACCTCATAAAGACACTCATGAGAGAGGCCTTCCAGAGCTGCTTCAGAAAGTGGCCACATGATGGATAAGTGTGTTGGAAGTGAGAGGGACTAGTGGGAGGGGGAGCAATAGCAGTCTGCCTTTTACTTGATGCAATTGAAACCTTTGCTGTATATGTTGATACACTTGAGTGTGCAAAGCTGTAATACATGATTATTTATATGCCCAATGCATACCTGCGTATGTCGTCATAATGATGGGATTAGAACCAGATTCTCTGGCTCTGCGTTTCCCAGTCAGTTGGCCTTGGGCACTGAGCCTGCAAGTGTTCTCAAGGTTATCTTGCCCCAGGGAGCGTGGCGTGTGAATTAGCACGGAGTAATTTAAACACAGGGAGGACTTGGAAATAAGAACATTAAGTGTACATGTTTGCTCCCGAGGGAGAACAAAGATGGAGACTTGTTTTCCTCATGAAAACACACTTCCCCATGCATCCCTGTGTTCTGTGGGACCCTGCATCCTGCAGGCTCAGTTAGCTCACTGTAAGCCATGGCCTTGTGCTGGACCCTCTTTTGGGAAGACCCTGCCTTGGTCAAAATCATCTAATCTTTTCCCTTCTCTTTCAGGCTTCATACGTGTTCAAAATCGGTTCAGAATGTTTTGCTTGTCCAGTGGATATTTTTCCCCACACTGCATAAATGTTTGGGTTTAATGAGACCCCATTTGTTTGAAGTTTGATAAATAAGATGTCATGCGCTGGGGCTCTTGCTGCACAAAGAGCGAGTGAGAGCAATCAGCGGCTGTGCTGCAGGCTCTGACCCGCAGTGTGCTCAGTGTCACTGCCACACTTACAAATGTCCCTGTTAGGAAGGCTTTCTGCTCCCAGCTTTCATCTACTTCCTGTTCTCGCAAGTTGTGGTTTTTATCTCCAAAACTGCAACATCAAATTATTTGGGTTTACGTGGGAATGAGGTCCGCCTTTAACGAGTTCTACAGGTGTGAAAAATGCATTGTCCCTTTTCGCACAGCATTGCCCTTTTGTGTCAGATGGCAAGTTCTACATGGTCAGAATTTGACAGACAAGCAACCTTCACATTTCCATACACAGGACACGACTGCTTTTAAATTCTTCCTTTTAAACTGAGGAAGCAAGGAAAGCTTTCATTCATTCATGCATTGAGCATTTGTCAGGTGTGACAGACTGAGCTAGTCTTTTATAATGGAAAGAAGAAAGGTAGGAAGAGAGGAAGGGAGAAGGGGAAAGGAAAGAATAAAACAGAGCCCGCGTGGCCTCCTGGGACTTCCCTCTGGCCCGGCACCCCTGCTGCATGGGTGTGGGGCCATGTTGCAGAAGCCCAGCCCCTCGGGGGCTCATTAACCAGCCTCATCTGCTCGAGGGAGGCGCAGCACAGGTAATCTGAAGATGTCCTCAGGTGTAAAACATGGCCAGGCTGGTGTCAGAGCCTCCATAGAGAGGCGGGGGACACGACTCCCCAAGGGAGGGCTGATGGCTGTCACAGGCAGCAGGGTGCTTCTGAGGGGCTGGGGGGCACTGAGGGCCTCAGCAAGTGTCTGCACTGGAGCAGGAGGGTGGGCGGGGCGTGCTGTGAGCACGCAGTCTGCCAAGTCCAACCTGCACACCTGCCCTTCCCTGGTCCAGCGTCCTGCATGGCCGGTGTGGCTGCTCAGAGGGCCCGGCGTGGACAGTACCCTCCTCTAGGGCCATTCCCGGGCTCCAGGGCCCTGCAGGCAGCTGGCTGGGTACAGGAAGGCTTCTGAGAGGCGGTCAAGCCAGCACAGCAGCGGCACAGAGGAGGGAGCTGGCTGGGCCCTCGAGGTCGCTGCTGCCTGCTTCTGTCTCAGTGATGCGGCAGACACATTGCCCTGGATGGGGACTGATGTGCCTAGCAAGGACAGAGGGAGAACCGACTGCCTCTGGTCCAGAATCCTAGGCAGAGACAGGGGCTTCCTCAGGGACAACAGGTGCTGGGCGCCTTCCCTGGGGGCTGTGGAGACAGATGGAAGCCGTCAGACCTTCTGCCCCTGTGTTTCCTGAGGCTGACCATGAGGGCATTAGCGGACGTTACACAGGAGCCTGGCAGACAAGCACTGGCACATCTGGGTCCGTGGTGACCCGGAGGGACATCTGGGGGGACAGGAGGCCTTGCTGCCAGGGAGAAGTGGAGTGATCACGATATACAGCAAATGCTTACGTCTTAAACAGTTGTTAGAGTAAAAGACACATCGCCCAGAGCCCCACTCAACGCCCTCCCTCCCTCCAGTCACACTCTCCCCATCATTCTGTCCACTTTCTGAAGCATCTCGGAGTCCTCTTCCCTGAGTGTCTTTACAGTGGTCACACATGCTCTGAATGTTGCTACCTAGAGCCATCCAACGGGACGGCAGGCTCTTAGAAAACGACGGCGTCCTCATCCACCTCAGTCACCAGATCTGGCACCCTGTGACTTCCGGCTCCTCCCCAAACTCAAAGTGACTGCAAGAGGTAAATGTTTTGAATGAATCCTGGACACCGAGGCAGCCAGGACAGTGCAGAAGGAGGAAAGAGGGCCAGGAGAAGCGTGTTTGAAAGGAGGGGAAGTGTTCTGAGAGGGATTCACGGCCGTGTGTCTTTTACTGTGAGAGATTTTAAAATGTTGAAACATACACTACCTTTTTCTACCCCACCTCATCCATAGATGTGCTTTTCAGGGTTCTGCCTCTCTTTTAGTGGCCTTTTCTGGGTCCCCCTTTGGTCGGCAGAGTGTGTGTCTCTCATGTCTGTGGTCAGAGCCTCCCTGGTGAGGAAGAGCTTGGGCCAGGCAGAGACCCAGTGCTGTTCGGGGTCCTGGTGACGCGGGCAGGGGTGCAGGACAGAGGAGGGCTGTGGCGCTGAGCGTGCCTGGGGCCGCCTGCCACTCCCAAAGCCTGCACGGCCAGTGCCCGCTGCTGCCCCCTAAAACCCGTGGGCTGCAGGCAGTGGTGGAATATGGTGGTGTTCTGCCTGTAAAAGAGTAAATAATCTATTTTTCCCCTAAACCGGACTCAGCTTCTTACCACCAGCAAAGTTTCTGAGGGTGATCTTTAGTTAAGTGGTCTGTGCCCCACCAGTGGGGGCAGCCGGGCCGCAGCCCGAACGTGGCTGTCACTGTCCACTGCTTTCCCTGTGTGTCTCCACGTCACTTAGCACTTCCGTTCTCTCGGGAGGAACCAGCCCCTGCCCTGAGGACCTCATCTTTACCTGAGCCTATGTCCAAACAAGGTCACGTTTCTGTGTCCCAGGGGTTAGGACGTTCACATATCCTCAGGGGCCACAACTCCACTTGCAACAGAAAGTGCTCAGACATGAATGGGATGGCTTGTAAGGAAGCTGGCAGGGAATAAGTGAGACGGTGCAGTGGTGTGCAGGATTTCAGGGGCCAGGAGACGCCAGAGACGAGGTACTAACAACTGCAAGCTCTCGTCGTCTGCTGTGTCCCAAGAAATGATGACACATATTCTGATTTCCATCCCAGTGCTTTTTCATCCGGGAATACAGCATTATGTCACTGGTAGAATTTAAATATCTTGCTCTGTGGGGCAAAGCACATGGTTTGTCCTCCAGGTTGAGTGGTGCCCAGACTGGTGGGCAGAACTGGGGCGAACAGGAACCAGGGAGAAAGAAAGCGGCGATTTCAGCGGGAACTTTGACTCCAAGCTCGGGCTGGGCACTGCATGGCACCTCCTGGACCTACCTGCCCTCTGCCGTCCACATGCTCATGGCCTTGCCCTGGGCAGTGCCCTCCCTCAGACGCAGCACGGGTTTCCTGCCTAACACCACTCCTGCTCCAAAGGGGAGGAACGCTGCATCAGTCAAAAATCGAAAGCAGATAATCACAGGCAGGATTTCCAATCTCATAATAACTGGACTTAGAAAAATAATGACAAAGGCGAAGGCTGATACTTTCCTCCTAAGGTAAAAATATAAAATTGAAGAAGGGAGTTTCCCGATGACACATTGGTGACACACAGAGGTTTCTGGTTTTCTCTAGAGGAGCTAGGGCAAGCTGGCGCTCATCAGAGCTAAATTAAAGCTGGTTTGGTTTAATTACAAGGAGAGAGAGAAACAGCAGGAAGCGCAGGCTGGAGTGGGAAGGGCATGAGCTTTACAACTGGTGAGACCCAGTTTCTAATCCCAGTGCTACAACTTCTAGTGGAGTGAACGAATCATGTCACTTAATACAAGTGGGCGTCAACTTTCGGCATGGTGGGATCACATCTGAAGATGTGGACTGAGGACTTCTGACGCCTGGAAGTTCACGGGCAAATGCACTCCCCGAAGCGCACTTGTCAAGGAAAGAACCAAGGAAAGGCGCGGTCGTGAGTTGAACTGTGTCCCTCCAAGTGGAAACCCTGACCTCCCGTATTACAGATTATGACTTGATTACAGAAAGTCATCAGAGTGGGCCTAAAGCAATATGACCCGTGTCCTTATGAAGAATGGAAATTCGGACCCAGAGACTGACCTCCAAGGGAAGAGGACAAGGAGATGGAACGCCGAAGATGGCTGTCCACAAGCGAAGGACAGAGCCTCCGGGGGGAGCATGGCCCAGCCACAGCTGCGATCTTGACATCTCACCTCTAGAAGTGTGGGCAGGACCT